GACATAGCCTGCCAATATCTACTGACTTGATGTGTTGTGGACCCTCAACATCAACTGCAATGTCATAAGTAGTAGCATCGACAGCATTCCAACCTAAGGCCCGAATAGTAATGCAATTCCAGGTGCGCCTCGTATTTTCTGGGGAATGTGGTTAGGAGGTCCACATGGAGTACAGTATTTCCAATGACATTCCTCCTTGAAATGCAACCACGAAGAGCACAATCCTGACGTTACATTAAAAGTCGGAAAATGGGCCTGGAGAAACATCTAAGTGGCTGAGTGCTTATTGTTATTGCAGGGTAGGACCCCACCACCCACATGAAGGCTCACAAGTCACAAGCATCCAAACACCAGTTCCAGGAGGGTCCAATGCCCTCTTCTGCATCTATGGGCACTTGCGCACATGGGATTCACATAAATTCGTGCTGGCACACCGAAAATAAATAAATCTGTAAGATATTATAAAATGTTAGTTCCTAGGATATCGGGAACTAATGAGTACCAGCCTCAGGACTCTCTCAGGGTTCAGAACAGGACTTCTACAGCAAGCAAAAACTGGCTTGTGAACAGGATCTGAGGGGTAGAACTCACTGACTAACTTAGGCACGTTATTCCTGTATGATTTTGTATTCCTTCGGGGAAGAGAGCATAAAGGTAAGGGGCTAAAGGTAAAACAAAAATGAACACAAGGGACATGAGACTAAGGGCAAAACAAAGAGTTGATCTCCACAAAACTTTTCAGTTTCTATAGGCATACAGACGAGATAGCAACCCCAGAGGTGGTAACACATTTTCACAGAGTCACATAAACAGGTTGATCTGGCAAGGAGGCAACTTCTGTCTCAGAGGCAGTGTGGTTGTGAAGTTCCCTTCAGCTGGGAACACAGCCTTGGTAGCTACATGCCCGTTTGATGGTTTGATTTGCATTAGCGTCTAGCTGGTTGAGTTAAAAGGAATCTCTTCTGGGGACCTGCCTTTGACTCCAACAGGGTTCCCAGATGAGATTTTTTTTCTCATTTAGTTTTAGTGACTGGGACCTTTTCCTGTATAAACAATTAATTTCCTGGGCTGTGATCTTATGTTAGTTAAAACCAAGGTGAAGGGTAAGTACAAAATATTAGTAATTTTAGAGCAAAGGGCCAGTAGATTATAGCTTCCTGAATCTGTTTTAGAGCAGACATACTGCCTCCTGTTTGAGACTCCTTTCTTATCAGTGAGTATTGTCAATATAAAAAGTTTGTGGGGGACTATTTTATGTAGATTTTGGCTATGAGAACAAAGGCTTGACTGAGTCCTTTTCACACTGTGGCTTCATGATGTGGGGGAGGAGATATCTGGTTAACCTACAGGAAGTCAGATTTATACACTGCTGGGATACTATAGAAGTGAGAAACGCCAGGATTTCACTAGATGTCTGCGAAATGGAAAGTGACTCATCCAGAGGACAGGTGTGCCTGTAGCTCTGCAAAAGTGGCTTCTCCAGGTGGAGTGTACGGATACACTTCCCGTGGATGGTTCAATAGATCTGCCAGTTGTACATTTACTGGATAACACTTGTGGGCTCACCACACTAGGACTCCGTTCTTCCCTAATACAAAAGATTGTTATGATGGCCTGGTGGAGGGAATGTTAAGCTCCATTTTAGAGTCTGTTTCATTCTGTTCTGTACTGGATTCTCCCTTCTCCCTGGTGGCAAATTTCGAATACTAGTTGTGTGTGTTTGCTGTCTCCCAAATAGTTGCACAATTCCAAGACAGAAGGATGCTCTAGTTGGTGATGTATCATCCGTCACCTTAGGTTAGACTAGCTATGCGGTTATAGTTCACCTTGCTATCCTACTGATAGGATTATTTAAACTTCTATAGACACCAGCAATGACTCCTTACTTTGCAGGCTTCCAACTGCAAACCCTTCACTTCTTGTGTGGTTTTCATCACCAGGTTCCCAGGCCCTGATCTCTGCATTCCATAGACTTAGCTCCCTAGGTGCACAGGGAACCTTGCTAGGTCAGGAACTTGCCTCTGAGTTCCCTTTTTGAAACTGTTAGCCCATAGTTCCTTATGGTGATGGATAGAAAATAGACCTTTATTCCTAACCTTTACTGTTCTATTACTAGGATATACTTTTAAAAATCATGTATGAGTTGGGAACTTGGGGGAACTTGTAAATTAAGCATCCATATTTGATTACTGCGTAGGGCATATTGGAGACTAACCCATTGCTTTGTACGTGGTAGGCAAGACCCCAAACACAGAGCTACATAACCAGCCCTGGGATTGGCAAAAGCCCAGATGGCCAGCGTTTCCTCATTTCTCTTTCAGCACAGCGGGCATTACCATGTAATGGTCTGATAATTCTAGACTCAGAGCTTTTGGAAGTATTGGACTCTCTGAAGCGTTTTCCTTAAAGGAAAAGGCAACTGGGAAAGTGCTTTTGTAGCTCATTGGGACCCATGGGGAACTGATACAGGTGAAGCATTTGGAAGTGACAAGCGTAGGGAAGGACTGGGAATGAACTGTCCCCAGGAACACTTTCTGCAGAAGCATTGCTTTACCAAAAGATTCTGCATGTCAAGCAATCTGACCATCATTTACGGAAGCCACTCTTCTATCCTGACTCCTTAGCTCATCTGAGGACTTGTGTATTTGCTTTCTTTCACCCTAGGAAGCTTGCAGGTTAGCTGTAACCGTTAATTCAACCAACACTGTCTATCCCAGGAAACTTGTTCCAACTTCCAAACAAAGCAAAAGGCCCCCTATCCTGTACTGCTGCCCCACACAGCTTTCCCATAAGCTCAAATACATTTTAACTGCTTTTATGATTTAGCTTGCCTATTGATTTTTCCTTTTACATTTTTGTTGGTTTATTTATTTTGAAAAAGGATCTCGCTTAGCCCAAGATGGCTTTGAATTCTGTGTGTGATAAAGGCTGGTCTTGAACCCCTGACCCTTCTGCCTCTACCCTTGAGATGCTGGGGTTCTGTGTATGTTCAACTGTGTTATCTTACATGCCTTGAAAAGGCCCTTTGATGCAAGCTTGGCCTATGGTACTACTGCAAGATGATGGAACTTCTGGGGTCTGTGAAAGGAAAATAGATCACCAGAAATTAGGCCTTTGAAGGGTGTATTGAAACCCTGGTTTCTTACTTTTGTCTTTCTTGTGCCCTGAAGGCCTTGGTTTTGTTTTATCATGTGTTCCCAAAGTATTATTGTATTCTTATGACAAAAATATAAAGTGACATGCTTAGGATCTCAAAGCCAACCAGTATTTAGGATGAAACCTATATATCAATCACCAGATCTTAGTTTTGAAATTCTGTAGCATGGTAAGGCCTAAAGATAATCTTTTTGATTCTATCTCAAGATTTACATACACATATATAGACATACAGGTTCTTAGAATGTAGGTCTACAGACATACACACTTTCTCATTCTAAATGCATGTGTGTTCATTATGGAAAGATCAACAACAGGAAAAAGAAGGCACATGCCATCACATAGGAACAGGTAATTGTACTTGTAAATCTTTGCCGTGAGCCAAATTCTGCTTGATGCCACGAGGACATGCTGTATCAGAGGAACGTCACTGGAGTTCATGATTGCCTCGCCTTGCTGGCATCTACCTGTCTGCACTCGTTTGAAATGGTGCGTTGTATTTTATTTCTTCAGAAATGAAGCCTTCACGCATTTAAAGAGATTGCTAAGTCCTTGTCAGTGGGGCCATTGCTGAACTTCCCCATCCTTTTTTTACATACTTGGTTTCTGCTTACGAATTTGTCTCTCCTGTGATTTCAGATCATTGAAATTCCTTCACTTCCCACTTCCCCAAGTTACTTTCCTTCTAGCATATTCTAAGTAAAGAAGAAACAACAATGAGTGTAGTTGAGAAACTAAATGTCTTCTCTCTTGTAATTATGTGGTTCTGAGTAGATAATGCCATCCTTCTGGGCACCGACTCTGTCATTTTTAAAAGAGAAGATTGACTCAGAACTTATAGGTTTTGCCCATTTTAGTTTTAGTTTTGTTTTTAAACGAGGTCTCACTCTGTAGCCTAGGCTGGTTGGATTTCACTGAGTAGCTCATCTGGCTTTGGACTTCCAGGATCGCTTATATGTTAGGATTGCAGGTGTGCGCTATTACAACTGACCCAGGTGACTTTATTTACTTATTTACTTTTTTTTTTTTTTACTGTGTTTTACTTATTTACTGTGTTTTTCGATAAAGGCTGGCCTGGAACTTAGAATGTAGTGCCATCTTCCCCTAACTTTCATGACCCTCCTGTGTTAGCTACACGAATGCTGGGATTACAAGTACTGTGTCCCCATCTCAATTCCTCTTGACAAGGATCCCATTATGAAATTACCTCATGTCAGACTGTGAATGCCAGTAACCCCGTCTTTCAGAAGAAAATTGTATTACGAAGACTTATGAGCAACTTTGCTGTTTCTGTGATGAAATACCATGACCCGAAGCCACTTATGCAAAAAAAAAAAAAGTGGCCTGTGGTTCCAAAGAGGATGCGTGGAAGAGTAGGGAAGGCGCTGCAGCAGGCAGCTGCAGCAGGAAGCAGCTGGGACAAGCCTAAAACCCTTCAGAGTCACTTCCGGCAGCAAGGCTGTACCTCCTAGAGGCTGTGACTACCCGCAAACTGTGCCACCCAAACAGGGAGCAAGTGTTCAGCTTGCCCGGTGTGAACGCATGGGGGGCATTCATCATCCAAACCATCACAAAACTCAGTTCACAAACATCATCCAACCAACTCAGTTCCAATGAATGCATTCACACGTTCATTCATGCTTCTATATATTCATTCCAGAGACATTTGCTAAGACTGGCAAACAGTAGCCGGCAGCCTCAGCTTCCTGTGTAATGAGAATACATTAATAAATAATTACAAGGTGACAATGGACGCGTGCAATAGTGACATTTTGAAAGTACAGGACTCAGGAAGTAAAAGTCGTTTTGAGAGATCTTGAGCTACAGCTACAGAGGACACAAGATTTATTCACCTTACAATCATTTTTATTTACTGAGTTTCATTGTTATACCCCCAATCAACAATATAATTTATAGTGTTTCTTATATCATTTTAAAATATTATTAAATAATTCGCTTTTGCTGTTCTCCTACAGGGAGATGTAGAGATGATTTTGAAATTTCTACAGTGCCTTCCTGGTAAATCATTCCATACTCGTCCTCATTGGGGCTGATCTAGATCTAATAAGTTTTGGCAGGGCATATGCAGATCTCTGTGCCCTGATCAAATGCAATCTTGCTACACTAAGCGCTTTACAGAATGGCGTTCTCGGTTGCTTTCATCACACTCTTCAGAAATTCCATGAGGTTAGTACCCCCAGTCCCTCTGTTTTCGCCTCCATGTTGCTGGTTGCTCGAAGGTTTCACAATGTATGTCCTTACTATTTCGAGGTGGAATTTTCTCAGAGAGACCAGGCCCTGCACACAATTATTATATGCGTTCCGCACGTCTTCATTGCCTCTTGACATGACAAACTCACGGACTGAAGGACCTGACTCTAAGGAGCGAAGGAAGTTGCGGTGGGCTGGAGGCATGTACTCTCTCATCTCCTGGAGGAATTCTGCGGGAGATCCTACGGTAAGATGAAGACAGGTGAGGTGGTTGGGGAGAAAGGACTGCAAGGCCAGCAGGCTGCATGATCATTATCTAAAGCCACTGTGGAGGATTTGAAGGACGCCCACCCCAAATGACTTGCTGCATGCTCCTATTAGTCCTGAAGACAGAATAAGCAAATGCTCCTAATAAGATCTTCTGCCTGTGGTTGCTCTGCCTTCCTTCCCTTTTGGCTTCCCGTCTCTCCTCTCCCTCTCCATGACTCCCTCTCTCCTTGCTTTATTTGGTTCCTGCTGGACAGGATCTCACTCTGTAGCCCAGGATGGCTTTGAATTTGCAACACTTCTGCTTCAGCATCCTGAGTGCTGGGATTCTAGAGGTACAGCGTCACACCTGGCTCTTGCCTTCTTGCTTTCCCGTCATACTGGATCCTTCCAAGAGGCTGATGGTACAGAAAGGGAACGTACGGTCTGCCCTTAGTCGATCATAATGCCTAACTGACGGGTTCAAGCAATCTTTTTAAACACGTGTCCTAAGTTTCACCTGCCACGGCGCTATCCTCTATGTCTCCTAAGCTTACAAAAACACGAAAGTGGAAGAATTTTTCTCTCTCCCTTGAGGACCCTAGAAAGCATTTAATAAACACAGTCAGAGGGTGCAAGCCTCCCTCTGGGCTGCCAGGCTGCGGGATGTTGCACACCAGGGCGGTATCAGCCCTTTGCTGTCACTGAGGCCCCTGCCTCCCAGCTTCTGCTCACAGGCGTGTCTCATTTTCCAGCATACGCCCCTGGCGATGGCTGTGGGTCAACACTCAGAGAATGATGAACCTGAATTTGAGCTTTGGCTCATCTGGGAAAGGGAACAAGAGTCCTGAAGGCAGCAGATAACATTTGAGAGAGAGGCTGCTGGGGAAGATCCGTAACCTGCATTAAGATCTAGTCCCGTTAGTAGAAAAGAAAATACATGCTGTTGTTTCCACCTACCTTTACCAGAGCTGTGCTTTATTCCCAGAAGGATGTCGAGGCACTGGAAGATGCTGCTCTGGCCTGCGCTGCCCCCTGCAAACATTTCTGGGGTGTCCGAGACCCCCTCATACAGCAGACCATTTGGCAGCTTGGGATTGTTTTTCCAGCTAGGCCAAAAAGAGAGGAAAAGTCCTTTGAATTAATTGCGAGATGGAAGATCCTACACTAGCGGTGATTCTCCCGTACACCTTCAGTCACCCGTTTTCGTTCATGAAAATAACAAAGAGCATGGTTCAGAGAAAGTTTGACACACTTTCTGAGTGGAACCTTACTTCACCCTAGCTCAGAGCATTCTCTCTCTTCGCTCTGAATCTTTTTCCCACCCCTGTTCCAGGGACTCCCTGGCCAATAGTCACCAAAGAACACAGCCTATGCTTTCTAGACAACGTGGATGTGGATGTGGATGTGAGCATACGAATCATTATTTCAATCCAAAGAATAGTAGAGGCCAGCGATTGGGATCTGCTCTGGTCTTTACCTGACTGGAGAAAATAAACTCAAACCACAGACTACGTACCCAGACAAATATATGCGCAGAACATTGAAAAACTGGTTTGGATCCACAAAATCTGTGAAAAGATGCAAGTATTTAACTTAGCAGCATCAGCAGTATGCAACCAACTCAACAAACCATAAACAACCATCAGCTTACAATAGATGCTTCAGGCAGACCCAGGGCCTCCTGGGCAAGCATTCCTCTCCTCTGTTCTCTCCTGGAGAAACCTACTCATCACTTGCCTGTAGCCCGCTAAGGTATCAACTAGCCTCACCTCCAAGACACCGCCATCCAAATGAAACTGTGAGCACCACTCTGTGTGCTTCCCGACCCAGCAGATGCAATGCTTGCAAAATCAAACCAGGACTGGACATGCACCTCAGTGGGAGTGTGCTTTCTTAGAATCTGTGAGCTCTGGGTACCATCACCAGCAGCACATACACATACTCACAGGCACACTCACCCACGCGTGCGCGCATGCACACACACACACACACACACACACACACACACACACACACGCAGTAGCCCCATGGGATCCATTCATTGGTCTTCCTAAAACTTACTAACATTTGATTAGAAGGGCTTTCTCCCTCAATAGACAGTCAGTAGCAGCTTCAAACTCAAACAAAATCCCACTTGTTAAAATGGGCCAGGAAGGCAGATTTCCTGCCGCAAGTACTCCTTTGTACTTGTGGGTTTTGTAGGGTCTCTACTTTTTCTACTTCAATTTTGAAGCAGTTCTTTTCTCTGTTATCCCAGGCTGACTCTGTGAAGAAGCAGAGCGAATTCAGACCAGAGTCTGGGTTTTTCCAACACTTAAATTGCCTTTGGGTTCAACAGGTTTCTTCGTGGATTCTAGTGGCAAGCAAGGAAGTTCCTCTGTGTTAAAAAAAAAAAAAAAAAAAAGACCCCGCTTTGGAATTCTGGGCTCCTTGTTTACTACCAGTGGTGCAACCTTATCTCTCTGACTTTAGATTTCCTTTCCTGAAAAAGGACACAGCGAGATCTTCTCCGCAGAAGTGTAATGATGCAAGGAGACGGATAGGCACTCTGTACTGGGTACCTTGCATTTCCTTTTCAAAGCTCTTTGCTCCAGACACCAGATGCATAGGGCTGTGAGCTCAGAATACGCACCCACCGCCGGCAATACTTACTCTGCATCCTCTGGAAATATGTCCTGGCATTATTCAGACTCTCAGCTATAGCTTCAAATGCCTTTTCCAGTGCTTTCTGATCTTGATGCTGTACTGCACTGCATACAGTCGGGACTGCCTAAAAAATAAAGTTGAACAATTAGAGGTCTGTAAGTAAGCTCTAGCGGCAAACATAGGCACAGGGCAAATGGTATCTAACTCAGCAAATCAAGTTTATGTTTCCGTTCCGCCTTCTTGTGTGCACATGGATGCATATGACTCTGTAGACTTTTGCGGGTGCATGTGCATGTGTCACATGAATGTGGAGGCCAGAGGTTAATGCCCAAGGATCCCTAGGAGCTGTTCCATTGCTTAAGAGACAGGACTGCTCCTTGTCTTAGGGCTCACTAATTAGACTGGCTGGCTGGTCAGAGAGCTCCAGGGCTCTTCCTATCACCACCTCCGGGCCTCACAAGTATATCCCAACATGCCCAGCTTTTTCATGTGGATCCAGGAGACCAGATTCAGGTGACATGCTTACACAGCAAGCATGTCAATCCACGGAGCCATCTCTCCAGGACTCTGTGTTTCTTTGTCCAGTCAGAATAATTGCCTTTACATCACTGTATACTAATGACAAATCTCTCTGGGGATTGTTATTTCTCGATGAAATTTCAAATTTGATTCTAAATGCATGGCCCCTAGATTTTATATTTCAAAACAAAAAACCAAAATATTTCTTTGTATAGCAAAGGATGTTATTTCCTCCAATTTTATGACCAGCGTGAACTCAGCCATGCTACTGTGATTTAGTTGTTATGTGGTTGCTGTTCTTGCATGAAAGGAAAGGAAATGGCTAAGGAAGAGAAGACATACTTGGATGGCAGAAGAAGCCGCGATTTCCACCAGTAGAGAGACGAGGAAGAAGCCCCTGCCACAGTCTCCACCAGGAAAGGTGAACAGAACGTCCATGTTCCTGAGAAAACCAGTCACGGTTGGCAAAACATTCAGGAAAATGAACGGCAAATTTGTAGAGCAACATACTTTCCCAACATCTTTATTTCTACTTTTATTTCTTATTTCAAAAATAATTGTGCCAGAGAGTTGTATGCTATGTCCTACTCTCTGTACTACACATTTGAGAATCCTAAAAGTCAGGTACATTGGGTGCACTACCTAAAGATCATGTGGAATTAAGGCCATGCTCACACTTGGAATTTAACTCCAGCACATGGATCTAGAAACCCCATAGCAGGTCTGTTTCTATAAATCGTACAGGCATGCATATTATCATAAGTATATGCCCAAAGCCCTGAGTTCTAGTTCGAGTAAGCCCTGCCCACTCACACCCCCACCCCGTTCCAACCCCATCACACATGGAGAAGACTGGCTGAATTCTATTTTTCTTTTCTACTGAAGTTTTGGTATTGTCGCAAGTCTGGATTCAGAATCTGTGTATCCAGGAGTTTTGAAGTGTTTACATTTCTGGATCCTAGAGCTTGGCCACTGCTTGTCTGCTGTGAGATGCTGTTTTAAAAAGTTCTTAATTTAAAGTTACTGTTTAAACTCTTGGCCATCACTGATAAAGGCCTATGGGAGCATTCATTTCCCCTTTTCCCACAGCTATTATTCACGGTGGTGCAAGCTAGAGGCCTCCTGTTCCAATAATGCGTCAAAACATTTGTGACTCCAAAGACCTTGCCCGTCACTATGTCTTACACCATAGACACTAGGCCTCCCCCATCTTCCGGATTCCCCCTTCCAGTCTTCTATTGAGTAGCGCTTATAGCACTTTATTTTTTTAATAAATGTATTTCTATATATTTAGCCTAACTTCATCTAGGTGAGATTACACTTGTGTCATATGGCTTAGTTCCCCAACTTTTAGAAATTTAGTGCATAGATCAAAAATGGCAAGGGTTGGGTTAAAAAGCACAGAGATAGGCTATTAGGTGGTATTATTAACTACTTCTAGTCACAAAAGTCATGGGGGGTCACAGGCACATAGACGTATATACTTTTTGTATCTGCCCAAATTAATTTCATGCATGTAGATACTAATGGCAGCTTTGCAAGGATCTGTAGCTACAATATCAAATAGACAGACTCATATCAATAGCTATAATTAAGTGCTGGATTATTTGCCTTTTAAATAATTATTCTAATAACTTTCTTCTTAAATCCAGTCATGGAGAATATCCCCATAAACCTACATTCATTTTAGACGGCAAGTAATTATTGAAATGAAATAAGAACCAAATACTTACTCGAATGTCAAGGGCCTTAGGAGAGCAGCCACGAAACAATGAGCCAATTGGAAGAGGGAAAGAAAACAGAAAAACCAGGTGAATTTGAATATTGGTTCATACACTATGATCCAGTAGTGTTGAGACACGGGTTTAATGAAGGAAAAACATATTTTCTCTGTTTCTCAAGATTATTTACCAGTGGTTCTCAACTATCTTGATGCTGAGACCCTTTAACACAGTTCCTTATGCTGTGGTGAACCCCAACTATGACATGGGGGCACATGTGCCATGGTGCACATGTAGTGGTCACAGGACATTTTTGGGGAGTCAATTCTTTGCTTCCTTTACTTGGGTCCCAGAGATTAAACTTGGACAGACAAGGCTGTGCAAGTACCTGTGCCTGCTGAGTCATCCTGCTAGACCCCAACGCAACAAGCACTGCTTAGAGTGAATTCTCTTGGTGCAGAGGAAGGAACCGAATGAAGAGAAGCATGAAGGCATTTTCTGAGGTGACACACAGGCTGCTATAGCTGCCTTCGGGTGGTGACTGTTTGAGGTGTGGCCACAATAGTCACACTGAACATGAAGGCTCTCTGGATTTTCCTGACTGTATCCAGATACTTCACATGCCCATAAAACACATTCGTAGTTACAGACACCACAGTCTAAGGCGCCATACCCAACAACAGAAGCCATACCCAATTACAGAACAATGTAATGTTCCTAGTTACATACCCATTGGGGTCCTTCTTCTTCCAGTTTGCCAGGACGCAGTCTGCATAAGAGAGAATTGGAGGTAGCCCCAGCTTGTCTGAGAGCTGGCGGTAGGGAACAGCGATATTTCTGGGCAGCACCTGATTAAAACACATGGCTCATTTTTATCCACTGAAACACCTTACTTTTTCTTCTCATCTCACTGTTCAAACTTGTCCTGGAGCGTAGACAGCACTTGGAAGCCAGTGTGTAATTTTCTCTCCCACATCTCATAACGTAACCCTGGCAATTGTTCAGTGTTCGTGTTTGGGATGCAGGTTTTTGCGGGCATAATTTGGGCACAGAAAGGAAGAAAAGTGAAGGAGCCTGAAGGTTTGGTTTTCTAATGACCCTGGGTTATTTTCACTCTGTCCTTCACCCATCCGTCCCATGAGACGCCATGTCAGCTAGTGGCAGCAAAAGAAGGAAAACTCAGCTGCCCCTGGATTTCTTGGCTTTGGTAAGGACAAGGGACGTGGCTCATGCGAGAAGCAAAAGCAAAGAGCTGTTCCAGAGCACAATGAAGAAGAAAATACTCCTGGACAGCGCTCTCTCTCTCTCTCTCTCTCTCTCTCTCTCTCTTCCTCTCTCTGTCTCTCTCTCTGTGTCTCTCTTTGTCTGTCTCCATCTCTCTCTCTCTCTGTGTGTGTGTATTGTATGTTTATTCTGTTTTCAATAAACTTCTTTGTACTTGGCACTGGTGCCAGGCACATTGATGCAGACATGCTATCCCACAACTTGGAAGGATGATGCAGAATTGAGAGTTCAAAGCCAGCCCAGGATACAGAATGAGTTCCGTATGTGCCTGTGCTTACATGGTGAGACTGTGCCCCATGCACAAAACAACACAACAACCCGCAAGCTATGTGGTTAGCATTCCTTTTAACTGGATAGTTGTGACTGTTAATCTCAATTTTCAACTTGATGCTGGTGAGAGCTGAATAGGTTCGGACAGCATAGTAGTCTGGACATCTCTCAGAGGGTGTTTCCAAAGATTAGCTAAGCCTGGAAGATGTGCCCTAACTGTGGGTAGAAGGGTCTGCTAGACAGCAGCCCCAGGTGGAATATCAGGAGAACATTAGGAAGTCTACAGCACAGAAGTCTCTGCCTCCAGTCTCTGGTCACCGAGAGATGGTGCTCCCACCACACGAGGCCAAGTGACTCTGGACTGAAGCCTCTGAAGCTATGAGCTGAAATAAATACTTCTTTCTCTCCTGGGAGGTGCTTTATGAAGTATTTCATTGGAGAAGAAATCTTGCTTTCCCTATGGGTGAGTAGTGCATCCCCCTCAGTTCCCTGGTGTCCAAGCCGAGTAATCCCAGTGGTTTTATTAACTATACAGCTAACACTGTGTTCTGAATCTGTCTGGCTTAACATCATTTGATTTAGAACTAGACGGTCCTATTCAGTGATTAAAGTAATCACGGTCAGAGTGAGTCATAGCTAGGGTGAGCATATATAACACAGGGAGAAGGTGAGGGACCCAAAGGCCACTGGGGCACAGACACTCTAGCGGTATAAAGTGAGCTTCATAACACACAGATGGGTTGACAGTCAGCTGATGCCACGGTTTGGAGAAATAATGACTTCAGATTAGCTCAGTATACTTGGGGGTGGATCTAACCAAGAGAGCAATATCAGAACCACTGTTCATCACATGCTGTCAACTAGTCATACATGTGAACTCGTCATACATGTGAACTAGTCGGCTGCAACTAGTCATACATGCTTCAAAAGGAAATGCATTTTCTTCATCAGAGGTTGACAGACACAGGAGCAGAGGGAAACAGTGAAGCATTTAGTAAAATAATTCGAGCTGACCTGGGAAAGCAAAGGGAGTTGCCCTAACACTTTTCTATTACAGCCAGCTTTGCAGAAGAGAAGAAAGGCAGAATCCTGACTTAGATTTTGCTCGTTTATTTTTGCTTTGAAACAAACCTCTTCCTTACAATAAGCTGTTGTATATTTTTACTGCCAGGATTTTAAAGTTGGACAAAGTTGTGATACATTAAAATGTGCTCCACTCTATCTTTCTTTCATAATTCTGACTTCCCTGCTGAGTCTAATAATCACGTTTTGTGGGGTCTGTTGTTGTTTAATGATGCTAAGACCGTGATGGTCTCTTCATGCAAACTTCTAAATTGCAGCCCCATGGAACCTAACACACACAAGGTCCTGGGCTCAACCCTAGCATCTCACTTGGGAAGCGCCAATTCCTCGCCATCACAAATAGTAATGATAATAATACACTTCTAGTATTTAACTTTTTGCAGCCCTAGGTTTCAAATCTAGGGCTTTCCATATGCCAGGCAAGATCTCTGCCATTGAGTTATCTCCCAAGCTCTCAAACGTTTTTACATGTCATGAAAGCTGGAGTCCGTTTTCATGTTAATGAAAATCCAACATGGGAAATACCGCCCCCCCCCAAATCTCCAAACCTCCTTAACATCGTCATCACGTCTTTGGTTCCACACATACGCCATGGTGATGCACCCCAGAGCCAAATGTGCCAGGCGCTGCAACCTGTGCCCTTTCAGCTCGTCAATGCTGAGCGTTGGCAGCTGAGAATAGATGGAGAAATTGGGCTAACATCAATGCTGGGAATACTGTGGGTCTTAAAACCAAGGTTAAAATGTGAAGAATCTACACAGAAAGACAATTAATACGGGTTTGCAAACCTGGTCAACTTCTTCTCTAAGTTGCCCGTTGTCGATCAGTTCAGGAAGACTTTTAGCAATGCGGATCCAGCCCTCGAACGCAGGGGGCAGTTCCTCCTTGAAAGGAAAACAAGACCAGCTTGTTGCAATTGCTCATGGAGGTCACTTAAAGTAGCACGGACTCTCCTGTGGATGGTCTAGCTTGCCCGTGGCTCCACTGGCGTCCCCAACAAACACCGGACAGGTGTTGCCACCTGACTGGTGCACAGGCAGAGGCCCGAGCTCCTTTCTCTCTTCCATTCACACCTTTCTATACCCAGCTCGAGATTCTCCCCAAACCTTCCTCGTGACTGCAGCCTACACCAGTCTCCTCCCCAGGAATCCACGGGAGATACCATTTCACACTGCGTCCTTATGCCCTGATACTTCCTCCTCAGGTTTATTCTTTGAATGGAAGAGAAATGAAATGGCATTAAAGTCACCAGTAAATTAGGCATCGCGCTCAGTTCTGCCTATATGTTTTTCATATTCCACAATGCCCCAAGAAGTGGTCTCTCTCTCTCTCTCTCTCTCTCTCTCTCTCTCTCTCTCTCTCTCT